TCTGCAAGCCAGCCTCCAGCCCATAGGTACACAGCCTTACTCAGTTCATGGGTCTACAGTCCACAGCTGTTCAATCTTTCCATGCCACCTCAGCTACCTTCTCTACTGTGATCGCTTTTCCAGGCAGGGATCGCAAGCTCCACTTATGTTCTTCCTTTTGATGGTCCTGGGATCATCTGTTTCTAAAATGAAAGATTAACTAATCCCCATTTTAGTTACATATCTTCTACAATGACAGTTTTGACAATCACAATTAATCCTATTAACAATTACTCACAATTGAAGTAATAAAATACTATCAGCACCATCCTTTACTCCCTTTCACCAGACCCATCTGGAAAAGAGGAAAACTTATTCAGTGGGGATTCTTTGTCCCCTTGTTATAAAACTAAGCGCACCCATAAAAGCTTGTGAGCCAGACACTTCATTGCTTTGTAGCCCCCTTTGCCCCATTTTTGATAGCCAGTGGTGCTGTGGGTTAATGCGCTGGACTGCAAAGTCAGTTTGAACTGCAAGGTTGGTGGTACAAGGTCACCAGTTGCTCCTTGGAAACCCTATACAGGGTTGCTATGGGTTGGAACTGACTCAACAGTACTTAACAACAATGTCTAAATTGCCCATCTCTATCAACCCAGTGGTTCCGCGGGAGAAAGACGAGGCATTCTGCTCTCATAAAGATTTACAGCCTCGGAAACCCTGTGCAGGGTCACTATGAGTCAGAACCAACTCCACGATACATAACAACAACAATCAACACAGTACACTGAGGAGATAAGCATGTCCTTGATCTGAAGAGTCTTCCATTCTGGTTGGAAGTTTTGAGCAACTGCATCCATTCGCAAAAGTCAAATTGCAGCAATTGCTCACAGTGTCAAACATCCTTATCATTATCTGGTCAGATTCTGGTCAGCTCAACCCCAGACATCTAAGCTAGGTCAAATAGGCACCAGCTGCAAGTCTGGGAGTTCACACACACCTCCAAGCCTTAGAAGCCTGGCAGTGGGGATTTCTGTAGACCCTGGCCACAGATCAGCTATCTTTTTTATTTATGGTGACATCCAGATCCAGGCAACTCCAGAAGTTGCTCTCCCTTCAGCTGAAAGGTTTTATCACATACCTCTTCATTTTTTCTGTTATTAAACCTCATGCTTCCATGAGCCTGGAGCCTCTGCAGTGAATCCTGCTCATGATGCCAACTGCAAAAATCATGTGCTAGCCATGCCTGACTTCCTTGGACTCCAAAAGGGGAAAAGAAGGAGCAAACTCAAAATCATCCCAAGGCTGATTCCTATGAAGTGGAGGTCAAACATGCCTCCACCCTGTATCAGTGCTTTAAAACTTAGTCAGGCATGAGAACCAATTTAGAAAACTCATCCTTATTATTTTGTTTCTCTAAAACCCCACTCTCACGGTACCATTTGTTTCAGACCAGATTTTCTAGAGAACCAAAACCAGTGAAACATATATATGTATATATTTAAGAGAATTCTGTTTTCAAGGAAATTGGTTACAATTGCAGAGCCCCAGGTCCCCAGTGGAAGAGAGAGAGAGCCTGTCCTGTGTGTCCATTACATTGGGAGCAGGTCATACCCCAAAGGAAGCATCTCTTTGATTGGCTACTCATAGCCACTCATCATGGAGTTAAATGATACCTGTATTAGGTTTCATGACCATGAGAAAAAGCACATCCAATTGCTAACCCTCTGGAAATCCTAACCTAGTCAAGTTGACACAGAACCCTAACCTTAGTTCTCAAACTGCAAAATGGCAAAGAAAACCACAACAAAAACATGTGCGGGCCATGTCTGACTTCTTCTTTGTTCTTGAACACTTTAAAGAGATTTGCCTAATGCAGTAAGTCTTTTGATTTGTTAACTGCTGCTTCCATGAGTGTTGATTGTGGATCCAAGCAAAATGACTTTGACAATTTAACTCTTTTCTCCGTTTATCATAACATTATATATTGGTCCAGTGGTGAGTGTTTTTGTTTTCTCTACCATGAGGTCCAATCCATACTGAAGGCTGTGGTCTTTGATTTTTCTTAGAAAGTATTTTAAGTCCTCTTGCCTTCCAGTAAACAGAGTTGTATCATCTGCATATTTCAGGTTGTTAACGAGTCTTCCTCCAATTCTGATGCCATGTTCTTCTTCATATAATTCAATTTCTTGAATTATTTGTTCAGCATACAGATTAAATAAATATGGTGAAAAGATACAACCCTTTCCTGATTTTAACCATTCATTATCACCTTGTTCTGTTCTAACAATTGCCTCTTAATTTATGTGCAAGTTCCTCATGAGCACAATGAAGTAATCGGTAATATATATTCTTCACAATGTTATCCATAGCTTGTCATGATCCTTACAGCCAAAAGCCTTTGCATAATCAATAAAGCACAAGTAAATACCTTTCTGGTATTTTCTGTTTTCAGCCAAAATCCCCTGACATTAACAGTGATTATCTCTCGTTCCACGTCCTCTTCTGAATCTGCCTTTAAGCTCTGACAGTTCCCTGTCAATGTACTGTTGCAATCATTTTTTTTTTTTTTTAAATTTAAGGTTTTTATTGTGAATTGAATATAAGTTTACAGGGCACATCATCAGTTTCACATTCAACAATTCATATAACTTGTTTCATTACATTGATTATAATCCCCTCCCTATACCATCAGTTAAAAGTATTTCTCTCTATCCACTTTAGCTTTTTAAAAAACACACAAACAAAAAAACCCAC